CACTCGAATATTCAAAGTAACATGGTAAACAATATAGAGACTTCTAAATGAACGAATGTGTGAATATAAAACCAACTTTACCTCTATTGTTTAAAATAGATAAAACAATGAACAGAAACAAAATAACTTCTCTTCAACACTTCAACGGTTTCTTTACATGAGAGTAATTAACAAAACGTTTCTTTAAAACACGTATTACACACTTTTCTGTTAACGTTACTTTATTCAAACAATAGCCCTCGGTTACTGAGAATAAAATAGTACTACGTTGAATAAAGGATTAAAATATTTCCAACAACAGGAACATAATTTAGCATCGTATAACAAACTAAAACCTTCGAACTTTAACTTTAAATCGGTTTATATCTGTAAACATTTAAAAACAAACCTTTCTCCAGTTGAATCACAACGCTGAAGCGGCGCCGTCTGATGACGTCACACGCCAAAATAAAAGTCTTTTCTTGTTTAGCTTTCTTGCCACTTACTTTTGCAGTCATGACTTATTGATATATTTCTCCCATGGTTTTTACTTTACACTATATCTGCTTTCTCTCACACAAACCTTAAATCTAAACATTTCTTAACTTTTTTAATCCACTTATGATGACTTGTATGTCTACAACACATTACTTCCTATTAATATCTGAGTTTTCCCAGAGATGGGTTATGGCTGGAAGGGCATGCGCTGCGTAAAAACTTGCTGGATAAGTTGGCGGTTCATTCCGCTGTGGCGACCCCAGATTAATAAAGGGACTAAGCTGACAAGAAAATGAATAAATAATATCTGAGTCCAAATCTCATCCTTATAATTATAACCTCTTCTTTTCTATTTCTACAACATCATAGGCCTATATAGAGTTTTCTTTTTTCCACATTAATTGTCGTCTCTTGTTATCTGTGTTCCACGTTTCCTGCCATTCTTTAGCAATATCTTCAGTAATAATATTTAATTTACCTTTACTTACAGAAGCATTAAAGGGATAGTTCACATAAAAATCACAATTTTGTCATTTACTCATCCTCTACTTGAGCCAAACCTGTTTGAGTTTCGTCTGCTGAATGCAAATGAAGAGAATACGGAGGCAAAAACAGACATAGTTCAGCTGTTCTCATTTTGGACCTGGCTGCTGTTTTCAACATTTTCTTGCACACAAATGTTCTTAGAACTCGATAACAATTGAACCACTAAAGTCACGTCACATGTTTTAAAAATGTTTTTGGTTCCTTTTCTGGACTTTGACCATCTCGGGACTTTTGCTGTCTATGACAGACGAAGGAGCTCTCTGACTTCATCTAAATAGTCTTCATTTGAGTTCTGAAGATGAGCAAAGTTCTCAGGAGATTAAACAACAGGTAGAGGGACAATCGTTCTTGAGTGCTTAGTGTACACTGTAACACACGCCTCCCATCAGTGCTGATATACAGCCTACAGCCACATTGCACTGCTTTTTAAAAATGTATTTATTCATTTTTTATTGCAATAATAACTGGCTATTACAGCAAATAGAAATACAAAAACGGATAGAAGGCTACATCGCACTGCTACTCGTGTGATATTACTCATGTATTCATTTATTTTTATTATTTTTATCAATCAGGGTTCACCATAGTGGAATGGACCGCCAACTTATGCAGCACATGCTTGACAACAGCGAATGCTCTTCAAGCTGCTACCCATTACTGGGAAACATGCATACACACTCATTCACACTGCATGCATAACGCATGTCTATGGACTTTGGGGAAACCAGAGCATCCGAAGGAAACTCACACGAACACGGGAAGAACATGCAAACTCCACACAGAAATGCCAACTGACCCAGCTGAGGCTTGAACCAGCGACCTTCTTGCTGTGAGGCGATTGAGCTACCCACTGCACTTACATGTGTAATTATTTGAGGTAAACTGGTATTAGTGAAGAACTATGCTTACAAATGGTTGTTATTTTTAAAACAGGTCAAAAGGCACGATTCAGATGTAGCGATCTGGAGAATCAAGCATGTATTGTTATAGACACTATGCTTATTTGTCTTAAGAGATGTTAGGCAGGTCCTGTTCATGTAATATGTTCATGTAATAGTCTATCAAGTTGGTATTGGCATGAACAGCTATACATGTTAACGGGTTTCTTATATGTAAAATGGTCCTAATCAGTTAATGGTCAGGCAGCTATTACTAAAGATGATTGCACACAATGATGAGCCATTTATTTAAATGACTATGTGACACAGATATTTAAAATTCATTGTTGCAAACAAGTTAAAGGAGTAAGTGCAGTTGTTGTTTTATGTCATGTTCACTACTGTAATTAACACCATGGTGAAAAAAATAAGTGAGAAATGCTGTAGTTGGTGTAGGTGGAGCAAGTTAATCACGTTAAAAGTTCTGCATTTTGTAGGTATGAAAGTGAACTCTTGTCATTGAATTATTCTGTATAAACTGCCTATACAATAATTTAACTTGAGATGTAATTATTTTCTGATTATAAATATTTAGATGCATCACAGTATCTGATAGCTTTACTATGTTAAAAGGAAAAGGTTTTGTCACATGGTATCTTATATATGCTTTTGTGAATGTCTATGCATATTTGTTTGCACAAACACAAGTAATAAATAAAGGGAAAAACATCTTTAATACATACCAGGTGAATAAGAGGCAAAAAAAGAAAAAAAATTGGCACAGAAACAAGTTACATTTTAATAGTTAAAATCTAGAGACATTTTTGAAAAGAAATAATTGATCTGTTAAGAGTGTGTTGACTATTACAAAAGTCAGTAATGAGCTGCATGTGCTTTAAGATAAATAAAGGACTCTAAACTCACATAAAGAACAAGTTCCGTGATAAATAAATAACTAAAACACTGCTAATAGTTAGCTCATGTCAATATATTGACTAAACTTAACATGAATAAAACTTCACTGTGAAGTTTAGAAATTGTTTCTTTCAACGAATGATAATATATTACAGTATAATAGTATACATCTTCTATAACTATTATATAAGTGAATGTAGTTGTGTGTATTGATAAATCGGTATGGACTGAGTCTTCAATGCTCATTTGCATCTTTAAACAAAGACTTCAGCCAAGAGACTCTGAGAAGCTTCTGCAAAAACAACACACAACTCTTGCACTACCTTTTAACCAGGCTTGGGAAAAAATAAATTGAAATGTGTTACATATCATAAGTGTATCGGCATGAACTACAAAATGCAGCAGCCAAAATAAAAAAAAAGCTGTCATCAAAAGTCCTATAAAACAACAGCAACAAAACAAATGATGATGGCTAAAGTCAACTTATTTTCCCAATACATCATTATTTCTCTGTAAAACTGGTTTGTAAAGCTGCTGAACTTCCCATCCTCTACAGTAATGTGTCTTGAGTCTTCACTGCTCCCCACTGCTCATTTGCATCTTTATACTAGCATTAATGGGGGCCAATTGAGTCTTATCCAATCGCATTCCAGATCCAGTAGCTCAGCAGGGCTGCATCTATATATTCTGGGTTCCTAAAAGAATCTTCATTGGCTTATTTTGCTATAAGAAAACAACTTTGGAGGACAAACTACAATTTTAGATTCCTACATTGAGATTATTACCAACAACAACCTACAAAGAAAAACCCACTGAGGCAATTTCTCATCCAACTTCTTCATTGAAGACTGGAAAGATAAGTTGCACATTCTGAATTTACAGTAAAATAATATCTGAATGCTAACATTATAAAATGTAAATAGGTGTGGATGCACAAACTTTAATGTTGTATTAAGTTCTTCAGTCATTTTAAAAAGTTTCTTTACAACTGTTTAGTTTTTTTTGTTTGTTTGTTCGTTTGTTTGGTTATAAATATTGTTTTTATCCTAACAAATGGACTGTATCCCAAATAAGTTTCAACCTATTACATATATAGTTTGGAACCTGGCAGGCAATTTTGGAGAATTTGATGTTTCCCCATGTAAACATACAAAGAGGTGGTAACATCAGTGAATGCAAGTGAATGGGTTAACAGCTATGGATGAAGAAATGCAATCGTTTAAAGAAAATGCAACCTCTTACCAACCTACCTGAAGGCAAAGATCTAGTGGGGGTAAATGGGTTTATTCAATGAACATAAATGATGGTCTTACAAGTACAAAACAGAAAGCAGATAAAGTATAAAGTGGAAAACGAGGGAGAAATGTATCAATAAGTCATGATAAAGAATAAATGGGGGAGGGGGGGGGGGGGGGGTGGAAAGACTTTTATTGTGGCATGGTGGTGTGACGTCATAAGGCAGCGCCGCTCCCACACTGTGATTCTACTGGAGAAAGGTTTGTTTTAAAGCTTGTACACAGATGTAAACCAACTGATTAAAAGTTCAATGTGTTCGTTTAATACTAGATGTACCTGCTGTTGACAATATTATTTTAACCGTTTATACAAAGAAGTATTATTTTACTCACAGTAAGGTCTATTGTTTGAATAAGATAGGATAAACTTTATTTGTTCCCAAGAGTAAATTCTTGTCTTGTGCAAATAAGTGCTACAGCGTTGATGTAAGCAGACAATAAAATAAATAAAACAAAGAAAATAATTAACAACATTTGTTAAAGTTTGAATACAGCAACAGTAAAGTGTGTAATAAGTGTTTTAGTAAAGGTTTAATTTATTAAATAGCATAATGTCATTCTATTCGAAGTAAACATCACTATATATAAGAAATGGAGTACTAGTCTTAATCGGCTCATTTGTGTCTATTGTTTCTTGCTCAGACTTACCTGATTTCTGTTTGTTAATGACTCTTATATAAAGAAACTGTTGAAGCAAGTGTTGAAGAGAAGTTATTTTGTTTCTGTTCATTGTTTTATTTATTTTAAACAGGACATTTTTATTGTTTTGTTCATTTTAAACTGGATAAAGTGTCCAAACACAGAGAAAAACTCCTGCTGAAGCGACTGATCTCCACACTGTAATAAAGATGGCGTTTATTAAAGAGGAGAGTGAAGATGTGAGGATTGAAGAAACATTCACAGTCAAACAGGAAGATCTGCAAGAACAAACAGGTTGGTTTTCATTCTCAAAGACCAACTCAGTCATTTGATCCTTATTCAGATATATTTTAATAATAAGAATACTAAATTAAATCCATCTTGCAGCCCTGAGTGTGCTTCCTAGTTCTCCTAAATGCACATAAGCACTCATTGAAAGGCAGTAATGAGTTTCTTTCGTCACTTGTTCTCATGTCTTTTTTCATTATTTTATGTATTATTAGTCTCCCATTTTCTCTACCTTTTTAAGGTTATTGCTTTTCTTGTTCTCCTACTGTTTGTGAAGTGTCCTTGAGAACTGGCGCTATATAAAATAAATAAAAACAATAAATTAAAAAAGTTTAACTGAGATGACAATATTTGACCTGCAGTATTCTCATAGAAGATATCTGCTATTACGGTGATGGTGTTGGCTTAGTACTTTTAATTTGCATATGTCACATTGATCACAATTCCCTTATTTTCATCAACTTCTTTATGGGTCTAATTTTGTTTTTAGTAGTTGTTTCTAGTTCTCACAGATAGTATCTGAGTTAGAATTCAATCATTATTATAATAACTAATTACCAGGGCTATTGCCTTTAAACAGGATTTCTGTGGGGTCTTAAAATATCTTAGATTCCCAAATCTAAATTTTAGGCCAAAAAAATCTTAAATTTACTGAAATATTGTGTTGTAGGTCTTAAAATCTTTTTACAGAAGCCTTAATTTTCCTTTGTGCATGTTCTGCTACCCAATCTGGTTAAAACTCATACAATCACCAACAATTCATTTGAATAAAACTTTTTCTTTTGAATAAAACTTTTATTAAAAACTTTTACTAAGAAATATATAAAATACTGTATTTTTTATATTAATTTATTATTTTATTATTAAATGTATTTATTTATTTTTATAAATAATATAATTATATACAGGGCAAATAAAACTCTTTTCCATCTGGGGTATTTGAAAAATTCATTAGCCTTTTAGCCCTTCATAAGTCAAAAATTTAACCCTGGTTTAAAGTATGTCAGAAATTGTGGATGCCCTAACTTTAAATATGCTGGATACAATGGACACAAAAAAATGAATTATTATAAAACATTGTACAGTTTTCTAAACTCGATGTTGCTGTGGGACGAAGTGAGGCGAAACAAACAAATTATAGTGGAACAATACCGTTTAGCATTGCACTGACTACAACTGGCCAACAAACTAGTTTAAAATGTATTTTGCTGCTTAAGAAATGGATTACAGCATGCTGATAATATGCAGACATTTGAGTGTGAAGTTTGTCAGTATTGATTATATTCTTCACGTACCAGCAGGCGCTGCCATTGGAATCTTTTTGCTAGAGACTTTTTTTAGAGAATGAATTTTTAGATCCTAAAAATAGTGTAAAGTCCCGTGCACACGAGACGTTTTTTTGCTCGCGTTTGTCTACATATAAGGCCTTGTGACTAAAGGGCGTCAATTTGATCGTGCACACTACGCACAAAACGCCAGGCGTAAAACCGTAATTTTTAAAGAAATGCCTCATGCTTGTTTTTTTTTTTTTATTTGATGCGCCGCGTTAAAACCTTCTTCACTAAACAGGTTGGCACTTTTGTTCAAATGCACGGACCTGCTGAAGTTACAGTAAACAGCACATGGAGGTGCTCAAAACTGTCAATGCGAGCACACATTAAAGAAGGTGCCGAGAGGCGATATCAACGTAGAGCTCCTTATTGCTCTGTGAACAATAATCATTTCTTCATCGCTAGAGGTGGAGCTGCTACTTGAACCATCCATGCTTGTTTGAGTCACCAGTAACTTTAACAACAATCGTGTGAACTTTCTCTCTTCTTCTTCTGTGTTACAAGAGGGTGTCGGAAGCTTAAAGTTGTGTAGCGCCATCTAACGTTAAGGAGTGGTTTTGCATACTCTTCTGCTTGATGCTAGTGAAAATAGCTTGGGTTTTAATGCAGAAAAACATCTCATAAAAGGCTGACGATAAACGCACATGAAAAAGCGTCCAGGTGTGTAGGAGCCTTTATGCTGCTTAGACATGGTATGATAACTGTTTGCAAGGTTTGCAAACTGCCAATATTTTCTGCTGTACGGTCCCTACTGTATATGTAAGGATTTTTATGTTCTGTTATACGTTTTTTAGGACAACAGTATCTCCAGCAGAAAAGATCTCCAAAGATGACATTTTAAATCGTAAAGAAATCTGTGTTTATGAAACAAAAGAACACAGCAGAAGTCAATAATTAATTTGAATTATTCAGCCTGACATGTTTATTGCTCCAAAATACTTTCAAAGTTTCTCAAAAGAAAATATATTGTTTTCAAAGGGAAAAAATGTGTTTTTTTATCCAGAGATTTTAAGGAATATATTATAGAGCAGTAATCAAAATACAGTGAAACCGTGATATTTTTTATATCGTGATATAAACCGTGACAAGGTTATCATATTGTCAAAATCTTATACTGGCCCATGCCTAATGCTGCTTGATGTTGTAGGGTCATTTTCTAATTTTATTATTTTTCTTTGTATGTATAGTCATGAACACACTAGTTTGTAGAGTAGTGTGGCCGTTTTCTGCTATTTATTATTCATGGTCAATTCTCCAAAAGGCAACTGAATTGAAAGTTCTAAAACAATAGCATGAGATCTGGGGTTCGTTCTTTGTACGTGGATTACTCAATTAGCTGGATTTGGTTATTTTTGGCTTTGGTTATCAATGATTGTTTCAATCTTTAAAACTCATCTGAGACTTGTCATGGCAACAGTTCTGGTAGCTCAAACCTACTTGGGATCAGAAAAAAATATATACTAATAAAACTTATGCAATCTGCTCTCCAAAATTAAAGTAGAAAGACTGCCACCTAAGGGTTCAAATAGATTTTTTAAAAATATATTCTTTGTAGATACAAACGTGTACATGCACAATATTTGACTTTTTTTTTTTAAAAAGGGGTAATAATTTATGCAGTCATGCACGTGTTTTGACCACTAATATGCCGGTGATTGACACCATTACCGATATGAAAATGCTTTTTTTCATGCAAAATTAATTTATACAGTTATTCTTTACGCTGATTAAAAAAAAAAAAATAAGTAGGCATAGGCTACTATAATTAATAATATTTTCTCTAAATGTAGACCTAAATACATTGATATACATGATGAATACTCTTGACTCATAAAAGCCTGCAGCTTACAACAAATGTGTAAAGTTATTGCGTGTCATGTTTAACAAACCATTTACTGCTAATTTTATGTAATTTGGCTCACTTGGATAATTGAATATTAATCAGATGATGTCATTACTGTAACGAGGAGACTGACACGGAGGGATCCATTATGCAGTATTTATTGCTCAAGTTCTCATTCACACACACAATAAGCACTAACGTGCAGACACACAACAACAACAGTCTATGATGACAAGAGACTGGCGATGGATAGACACAGTGAATATTACCAGGCATAGATCGAGGGCAGGCAGCTAGTATCAGAGTCCGTATACAAAGCGAGGGTCGTGGGCAGGCAGAAGGCGAAGCAGAGTCAAGAAACAGGCTGGAGTAATACACAGGGAATCAGACAGGAATAACGCTCAGAAATGCTGGCCAGGGCTAAACAAGACTTCGCACTGAATGAGCGTTTGGTGCTGGCTTATAAAGGGTACGTGGGTCATTAACGGGATTCTGTTCAGGTGTGCATGATCAGAGTGAAAGGATGATGTAATGCTTAGAAGTCCGGAGATGGTGGCCTCTGCTGGCCAGCGAGGGGAATGACTGGGACCGAGTCGGTGACAGAGCTCCCCCCCAATGAACGGCTCCTGAAGTGAGAAGAGTCTCGACGCCGGGGTCTTCCACGGGGGCGAGGGGCCGGCATATCCGGGTGCTGTGAGTGGAACTCATCCAGTAGTGTTGAATCAAGAATGTCCTTACGGTTGATCCATGATCTTTCCTCCGGACCGTACCCCTCCCAATCGATGAGATACTGAAGTTGACCACCCTGGCGTCTGGATCTCAGGATCTCGTGGATCTGATAGGCTTCCTCTCCGTCGATCATGAGAGGCGGGGGACCCTGTTCACCGGCTGCCACCTCCCTATCCGCCTCGGCTGGACCAACAGCAGGCTTGAGCAGGGAAACATGGAAGGTAGGAGAGATGCGATAATGGTTAGGGAGAGTCAAGTGAAAGGAAACAGGTGAAATCTGACGTTCTATTTGGAACGGACCCACGTACCTGGGACTGAGTTTCTTACAGGGAAGTCTTAAGCGAAGGTCTCTTGTAGATAGCCATACCCACTGTCCTGGGGAATACGTGGGACCAGGACGACGGTGACGGTCGGCTTGTTCCTTAAACCTTCGGATGGCGTGTGAGCTGCGTTCCAGACCTCCTCACTCCTTTTGAACCACGTGTCGACTGCGGGAAGGTCAGTGGTCTGACCGGACCAGGGAAACAGGGGAGGTTGGAAACCTAATACACATTGGAACGGTGTCAGACCTGTGGCTGCCTTTCGCAAGGAGTTCTGTGCGTACTCCGCCCACATTAGGAACTTGTTCCAGTCAGCTTGATTGGAGTGACAGTAGGTGCGGAGAAAGCGCCCGATCTGATTGAGGCGTTCTGTCTGGCCGTTAGACTGAGGGTGATAGCCGGAAGTTAAACTGATGTTAATCTGAAGGTTCTCGAAAAAGGCTGACCATAATCGGGATGTAAACTGGGGACCTCGGTCTGAGACGATGTCTTCGGGAAGACCATAATAGCGAAACACACATTTGCATAGAAGTTCTGCGGTCTCTAAGGCTGTGGGTAACTTGGGTATGGCAATAAGTCGACAGGCTTTGGAGAACCGGTCCACAACCGTGAGAATAGTAGTTATTCCTTGTGATGGAGGCAACTCTGTGATGAAATCTATGGCTATGTGAGTCAAATCGAGTGAAGAACAACGCCCATCTGGCTTGTCTGGGATTCAAGCGTTTACATGAGCGAATATACTCCTAGTTCTTGTGATATGTGATGACGGTGAACGGGTGTGTA